TCTTTCTTTGTCCTGTAATTTTGGCAATTTAACTATAATCTGGCATGGAGAGGTTTTCTCAGGCCATGTCTGTTTAGGGTTCTAAATGTCTCCTGAACCTACATGTTCATGTCTTTTCCAAGACTTGGGAAATTTTTCTTCTATTATTTCACAGAATAATTTATCTGTTTCTTCAGTATATAGCTCTTCTCCTTCTTGTATGCCATTTATGTAAATACTTGATCTTTTAATGGTATCCCAGAGATCTTAGATTTTTCCCTCTCTTCTTTCTTTTTTTTTTATTCCTTTCATTCTTTTTTAATTGTTGTCTGAATATAAGATTTTGGCAGAGTAGCCTTCAAGCTTTCATGTCATTTTTTTCTGTCTGCTCTATCTAGTCTGTTGCTCAGGCTTTCAACTGAGGTTTTTATCTAATTTGTGAGGTTTTTATTTCCAAGATTTCTCTTTGGTTCTCTTTCAATTGTTCACTTATATATTGCATTATTTTCCTTATTTCATTCAACTATTTATTTCATTCAGCATTTAAAAAATCTTTCTTTTGAATTCTTTGTAATTTCATCTACTTTGATATCTCTGTAACAAGTTACTATGAAGTTATGAACTTTAGGAAGTATTGTTTGCCTTGTTTTTTCATATTTCATATGCTTTTATGTTGAGAGCTGTACATCTGTTGAGATGCATATTTTTTTCTCTTTTTTGGTGAAGCCTTCTTAATAAGCTGTCTTCTTCTGACACTATGTCTTGGGGTATCAGTTTGTTGTTCAATATCGAGTTTAATTTTAATTGGACTAAATAATATAATCTCCTTGTCATTTCTACGGCTGTGATTAGTGGTTTTTCACATAATGCCTACTGTGTCAGAGGCTGAAGGAACTTCTTTCTCTAGAAGTCTCACAAGAGTAGGGGGTCCCCTCAGTAGTTCAGGTAGGTATGACATAGACAAGAGAGTAAGTGGGGTGCATCTATTAGGGTTACTCCTACAAAAGGAGTGGAAACCCCTATTAGATGATAGAGGTTTCCTCGGGTACTGTTGATATTGGTTCTGTTGCTTGAAAAGACTCCTGGTACTAGGTATTCTCATCATGGTAAAGGACCTGACACTTTTATCCTGGTATTTCATGGTGAGATTCAGGGATGAGAGTTGTATCTCCCACTTTGTGACACCTTCAATCTTGTTATCAAAGTGAAATCTAATAGAATGTGGAAGCAACCAATGCTGAGCACTGTATAGATGTCATAGCCACAAGTTTTATTTTTTTCTTTCTTTTGTTGCTGTGGGAGTGAGTGCAGTCAGATTCCTCCTTACCTTGCCTGCTTGGGAGGGATTACTGACTAGGGAATTTTTGCCCGAGGGTTTGAGCAGGACTAGATCATGGCTGGAGCTAGGTACAGTTTCAGTCAGCTAGCCTTAGAAATATTGTTCAGCAGCAAGCACCTATCCAACATGCTTAAAGTCCTGGTCTCAATCCCTAGCACAAGGAAGGGTTGGGGGGAAACGGGGCAAACAAAAAAATTAAATTAAATTAACAACAACCCCAACATTTACTATGTACTGATAAGGGAAAAGTAATATGGAATGAAATAAAAATTTAAAAATATTAGGGATGAGAGTATTACTCAATGGTAGAGTACTTGCCTACTATGAGGCCCTGGGTACAATCCTCAGCACCACAATAGATAAGTAAGTAGTTAAAAAAATAATAAATATTTTTTAAAAAAGTAAATGTTAAAAAGAGGAGACAAGGAAAACAGGTAAAGGCGGGGAGGGGGGAGAAGGAGGGGAGAAGCTTCTCTGAGTCTTCTTAGGCTGTGCACCCCTCAGAGAAAGCAGAAACGATGTGTTAGTCACCCACCTAGTCTTTTTGTTTTGATTTTTGCCTAATGAGTAGCAGGAGTGGTTTGTAGCTGAAGCTAGTTGGAATTCCTCTCAGCCCCTCTGCTGGCCGTAAGGAGTTAGTGCTGAAAGCAGACCTCCCAGGTATAGATTCTCACTGGAGATTTTTGGACTGCACATTTCAAGGGCACAGAAATGCCAGTGCTACATCAGGTCGATGGGCTAGGATAGGGTGTATAACTCGCCTGGCAGAGATTCTATCTGAACTATATACTTCAAGGGCTGGACTAACACTGGCACTGCAGCTGACCAACAAGCTAGCCTAGTGTGGACGCCCCCAAAGATACTCTCTGGAGCGAGACTAACGCCAGCTCTACTGCAGATCCTTGATGGCCCAGGGGGCAGAGAGAGGCAAGGGGGTCACAAAGGAGCTCTGCTAGGAGGAGAGGAAATGGGGCAATCCGCCCACCACCCATGATTCTGGTGCTTCCATTCTTGACCCCCACGTGAAATGACACATGATTCACTCCCCTGGGCTGTGATCATTGGATTCCCAAACTACCAATTTAAAAGGAAGTACCTTCCATTCCCCTCTGCATCAGAGGGGAATTTTCCTACCACACAGAATTCTCAGCTGGTTTGTGTCCATCTCTCCCCTGGGCCAAACTGACATTTGAGGTGGCTGCCTGCTAAGTCAGTGCTGTGGTATTGCCTCAGGATCCAGGAGATAGAAAAATGAAGGGGCCTTTGACTCCCACAGCAGTATAAACTTAGAAAATAGGACCCTTCTCAAGACAACACTATGAAAATATTCTGGGAAGTACAGACAGTTCTCCGGGGCCTGTTCCCAATGCAGAGTCCACAGCTCTTGTCTGCTTAGATTACATGCCAGGAGGGTGCTGGATCCTGCACTAGTGGAGCTAACTGGAGCTCTCCCTCTTTTACCTCTATCCCTGCCAAGGGGTACTCGTCCTACCCTGACATGCT